TGGAACGCTTGGTGTTGGCTGCGGTGGTGGTGGTGGTGGTGGCGGTCTGGGAGTCGTTTTCGGTAACACGTCGGTATCCGTAGCGCCGTACAAATTTTGTATGTTTATAATGTCCTCGGTGTTTAGTGTGACAGGAAAAGTACTGTCAGGTACGAATGAATATATTATCGACGTAGTGTCGTGACTATGATCTAATCCTAACGAATGATCGATTTCATGAGTCAACACGTACAGCAAATTATATTTGTTTTGTGGACCCACATTGAGATATATATGCCACTGTTCCGTCTTGTCGACGTGAATCTCCGACGTGAAATCCGACGCTCCATTGGGATAGAACGCGTGAGCCAACGTGCCGCCGGGGCCGTCCAAAGCGCTCGAGCACAATTCACTGTTTCGACGATCGAGGAACATATGATGGCCTTTGCGCAACGATATCAGAATATTTGGGTTTTCAACAGCACGTTCAAACGTTAGCGACGAATGTTTTTGCCACAAATCGAACGCCGCCTGAGTTGTATCCAAGACCGCTCTGTTGGCCAAGTGAAAATTCCACGTTAAGTGTCGTTTCGGCCACTTAGGTATAAGTATAATTTTGCCCTCTCCGAAATTCAATATGTCACGTAGACCGCATCGCGGTTTACTCATCAGGCTTAGAGTTGCGTTGTCCACTTTACCAGTGACAGGTAATCTGTAGTATTCTTGAAAGAGATTGATAGCGTGTCGAAGAACCAGCTGATCTTCACTGGTTGCAAACGTATCCATCGTCTCGTTCAAAAAACCGTATTTCTGCAGATACTGTATCGCCACTTCATTATTGTTCTTGATGACTTTACACTCAGCGACAATATACACACATATAAGCATCGTAGCTACTGTACAGGTAACTATGATGCGTGCGAACATTGTGGTCATTGTGAAGAACCGGTGCAAACTCGAATGATGAAATGCACGCGGTGCAAACTCAAATAATGAAATGCGAAAATCTCGAGATGCCCTTTTATTAGGTTAGGGTTGGGTTAGTATTAAGGTTAGTGGGCGTTGGTCTATGACGATGAAAGCGTTACAAAAATAACAATTTGATATGTTTCGCAATATCCTTTCGAGTAGACGTTGACGCTATATATAGATATCCGTTCGATGAGACTGTGGCGATAAAGGGGTGCATATCGCAGGAAATTCTTTTTTCAATGATAAAAATAATACTTTATTCGTACAAAAAATGACGATTAATTATAAATAATCTCCTAACGCATCTAAATTTCTTATCAATACCTTCCTCTCATAATCTACCTCCTCCTCTACGCAGTGTTGATATGTTCCACTAAAATATAAGTAATTTTGTATACAAAGTTCACAGTCTATTGCCGGTCGAGCTATTACTATTATTTTATTGCATTTGTGGCATTGTTCCTTCTGCTGCATTGTCGTTGCGAAAAATGGCCCACATAATGTGTGCCAATTCTCCAAGCGCGCGTAATATTCGAGCTCCTCTTCATCTTCGTTCGTAGCGCAGTCTGCGCACATGCGCCTGGATGGATAAGTTTCCTCGAAATAGTGGCTTCCGGGTTCAAGTGCCCGGAAGCAATGACTTTCTCGTAAAACATCGTAGAATTCATGTTGCCGGGGATCTACCCCGTCAATTACAATATCCGCTGGTGGTTTCATCTTTATTTTTTCAAAAATATATAAAATAAAATTAGATGGAGGGGGTAAAGATGGCGAGGAGGAAAGACATACAGTGAGAAGGCGGAGTGAAAAAGGTAGTGGAGGGAAAGGCTGGAGAGGAGTGATCGGGAGACGGAGGAGGTGATGGAAAGAGGAGACGGAGAAGTGACAGTGGAAATGGAGGAGAGAAGAAAAAGTGAAGGATAGGAGAGAAACTGAAGTGGAAAGTGAGAGGAGCTGGCATGAGTCGACAATCAGGAACGGAGAGGACGGAAGTGGTGG